CTTTTTCTGTTTCAGTCATTCAAATAGCCTTGTAAAATGATACCATGGTGTTTTGCCCCAAAGTGGTTCAGTTTATAGGAATTGTAGAAAATCTACAGGGAGGTAATGGTGGTAGCTGAGTAATACAAGAAAAAAATGGTAGGCTCCATGGGTGTTTTCTTCCATGCATTCCAGTAGATTAAAAGATAACATAGTGATAGGAACCCTATATAAAATCTGATGGTTCTTGCTGCTTTTTTGCTTTGACATTTAAGGCATCAGAGACAGTCCTTGAATTAAAGTATCTCTAAAAGACTTGGCTATCAGTAATTGTGAACATGTCAGTGCTCAGATGATGAAGTGTGCAACAAAATAAGCTTTGACATGTTTGACATGTTAAACCTATTTACTAAGAGACTTGACAGCTTTTGTAGATCTAAGATTGTGTGATGAATGCTGGGAAGCATATGTGACCCTGGGTACAATAAGTGACCTTGTAGTTCTGGATGGCTGACAGTACTGAGTGGAGTTAATCTCCTCCCTCCAAGGAGAAACCTGTACAAAGTGTGCTTGAATGTATCTCTCATCTCATATTTTCTTCTAGATAACAATCCCACAATAGGAATAAATTGTATAAACTCTGGATTTTGGCTGATACAGAGCAGGTCTGATGAGTAGCCAAATAGCAGGATATAATGCCCCCATCAACTTCCCTCCCTCAGAGGCAAGATTTTCCCTCTTCTTTCCCTTTGTGGCTGAGCCACCCTATTTATCTGTTGTCTTTTTCCTGAAGAACTCTAGCTGTCCCACCCTGTCATTTTTATTTATTTATTTATTTATTTATTTATTTATTTATTTATTTATTTATTTATTTATTTATTTACCTTCAACTTCTACCCCGCTCGAACCCCTCACATGGGTCTCTGAGCGGCTTACATAGTTTGTATTATCCCTATCTATGGGCACATATATATATCGTATTAGGGGCGGGACTACCTAACGGCATAGTATGATATTTTGGCTGTTGGCTCAGTCCAGCAACCTGAGGGAAAGATCGAAAGCCCCCTTTAACTTGAACTTAAATGACACTCAAGGCTGTTTGAAATTCCAAATTAACGAGATATTTTATTCAAACAAGATATTTTATTCAACATAGAGGGAGAAGGTCAGATGAGATCAAAGGTAAAATTTCTGAGGTAACTCAATATAAAACTCTGAAGTAAATTAGTATATGCACAGACTTTAGTTCATATGCTTTTCAGGCTATTAAAAATTTCATAAGCTTTTCCCGGTGACTTAGGAACTTCAAGAAGAGAGGCATTTATTCCAGTGTTTCCTAAACATTCCAGTACACTTTCTTTGAGCATTCACTGACTCTCTCATTTTCCAGAAGGCTGGGACACTCTCTCCAGTACCCAAACCCATTCTTTAAACACACCAGTACTCTTCTTGAGTTTTAATTGACTCATAAGATTTCACAAGGCAGTCTCCAGACCAGGGATCTCTCCACTCTTCAGATCTATCTCCCGGTTTTAACTGGACAGGGAAAATTCTTCTCTCTAGAAGATCTATCCCCTTTTCTGGCCTGAATGGGAATCTTTGCCTAACTACCCACTCCTCCTTGCCAACCTCCCCCAGTTTTCCATCTGTGTTAAACTGCTCTCAGTCAGGGCTGAATTCAGACTGAACAAGTGGAGACCCACAAGAAACTTGTGAGATGGTTATCCCATTCCTCACACCTTTGCTTTCTCCACTCTCCCCCTACCTCTCGCACACTATTTCTCCTTTCTGCCCCCCTTTTCTTACTCTCTATCTCTCCTCCATGCATGTGACTTCCTCTCTTTTTCTGACCCATCGTTTTTCTGCCTCCCCACCTCATCACTCTTTCTCTCTCTTTCTGCCCCCCACCCTATCACTCTCTCTTTCTGCCCCCATCACTCTCCCAGCCTCTTGCCTGCTTCTTCCCCCACCCTGCACAGCAGCAGCGGTGGTGGTGGTACTCCCAGCTACCCACCAGCTTCCTCTCCCCCCACAGCAGCAGTGGCAGCACTCTGGGAATCACAATGGATCTCCCAGCTACAGACATCAATTCACTTTAGGGCTGCCAGTTCCAGGTTGGGAAATTCCTGGAGATTTGGGGGTGGAGCCTTGGGACAGTGAGGCTTGGGGAGGCAAGCAGCCTCAGCAGGGTATAATACCATAGAGTCAACCCTACAAAGCAGCCATTTTATCCAGGGGACCTGATCTTTGTCACCTGGACAGCAGTTGTAATTCTGGGTGATCTCCAGCCCTCACCTGAAGGCTAAAAATCAGCAAATACCATGCTACAGACGATTAAAAAATATCTCAAATATTTTTATATATTTTTGTTTTATATTTTTACAATTTATTCACCATATATTATTTATCATATAAGCCTTAATACAAGCCAGATGGAATTAGCATCATTTTTGTGTGTTCTGCTGTGTCTAAAAGAAATATTTCAAATGACCTTTTAGCTGAAGCAGTGCATATTTGTTAGGGCAGTTCATCTGAGACCAAGCACCCTGTGGTAAAGAAAAGGTGTTGAGTTCAAAGATGGCAGAGTCATTGTTGTTTTCTTTTAGGCCTCTGAGGGCAACTGTGATGGGTCAAGCCCATTTCCTGAGACGCAGGTGCTTCTGAGAGGATGTGATGTCACCAGTTTGGTGTACTGGTTAAGTGCACAGACTCTTAATCTGGGAGAACCGGATTTGATTCCCCACTCCTCCATTTGCAGCTGCTGGATGACCTTGCAAGCCATAGTTCTGCCAAGAGCTGTCCTTGAAAGAGCAGTTCTTAAAAGAGCTCTCTCAGTCCCACCTACCTCACAGGGTGTCTGTTGTGGGGAGGGGAAGGGACAGGAGTTTGTAAGCCACTCTGAGACTCCAAATGAAGGGCGGGGTATAAATCCAATATCTTCTCTTCTTCTTCTTCTTCTTAAATAAACCTATTTTAAAGATATTCGTGTTTGCTTTTATATGTGACTCCTCTCCCTCCCCCAGTGCCTGGCATAGATTTTGCATATTGATGACTCCACCATAAACTGTCCTTTATTTGTTATACTTCTTTCTCTAGAAAAGTGCATTTTCCTTATCTTTTGAGCTATAGACCTCATTTGGAGTACTGTGTACAGTTCTGGTCACCACACTTCAAAAAGGATATTATAGCATTGGGAAAAGGGCAGAAAAGGGCAACAAGAATGATGAAAGGGTTGGAACACTTTCCCTATGAAGAAAGGTTAAAACGCTTGGGGCTCTTTAGCTTGGAGAAACGACGACTGAGGGGTGACATGATCAAGGTTTATAAGATTATGCATGGGATAGAGCAGGTAGAGAAAGAAGTTATTTTCTCCCTTTCTCACAATACAAGAACTCGTGGGCACTCAATGAAATTGCTGAGCAGTCAGGTTAGCATGGATAAAAGGAAGTACTTCTTTACCCAAAGAGTGATTAACACATGAAATTCACTGCCACAGGAGGTGGTGGCGGCTACAAGCATGGAGGGCTTCAAGAGGGAATTGGATAAACATATGAAGCAGAAGTCCATCAGTGGCTATTAGCCACAAGGTATAGAGAGGAACTCTCAGTCTGGGGCAAGTGATGCTCTGTATTCTTGGTGCTTGGGGAGGGGGGGGTCAACAGTGGGGGGGCTTCTAGTATCCTGGCCCCACTGCTGAACCTCCTGATGGCACCTGGTATTTTTGGCCACTGTATGACAGAATGTTGGACTGGATAGGCCACTGGCCTGATCCAACATTGGCTTCTCTTATGTTCTTATGTTCTTAGACATGCAAAGAGATCCGGCAAAGAAATATATATTAATAGGGAGCCTAGCTGCTTCTCTTACTTAACCATGTTCCTTCTCTCTTTTACCCACCCCATCCTTCTTATCTTCCAGCATTTGTCGTCATGATAATTTTCGCCCTCATCCACATTGCCAAGGGCCAGGGGGAAGGTCAGCCTCCTCTGGCACAACTCTCGGGGATCCGCAATCTGTTTGGAGTATGTGTTTATTCCTTCATGTGCCAGCACTCCTTGCCATCCCTCATCACTCCCATCTCCAAGAAGAAGCACGTTAACAAGTTGGTCCTGCTGGATTACATTTTAATTCTGGGTTTTTACAGCCTCCTCTCCTTCACCGCTATCTACTGCTTCCGCAATGGGACTCTCATGGACATGTACACGCTCAACTTCACCAGTGGTCAGATAGTCCCTTATGCCTTTCTGCAGTACTTCCTGGGCCTCTTTCCAGTGTTCACCATCAGCACTAATTTTCCTATCATTGCCGTGACTCTAAGAAACAATTGGAAGACCCTTTTCCACCGGGAAGGAGGAACCTACCCATGGGTAGTAGATAGGATTTTTTTCCCAGTTATCACTCTAATTCCCCCCATCCTTGTGGCTTTCTGCACTCATGATTTAGAGTCCTTGGTGGGCATTACTGGTGCTTATGCTGGGAATGGGATCCAGTACATCATCCCTGCTTTCTTAGCATATTGTAGCCGAAAAGATACTCAGCTGGTTTTTGGAAGCGGCACACTGAATAAACATTTGTCTCCATTCCGGCACAAGTTCTGGATTGGGTTTGTGCTCCTCTGGGGTCTTTTTTGCTTTCTCTTTGTAACTGCAAATATCATTTTTACTGAAACAAAGCTCTGATTGATGAAATAGTACTGCAGTACTGCTTGTCATACAGACACTTCAAGGTGACTTACAAGATCTCTTGGCCTTGCACCTAGTAAGAACTTTTCTAAACAGTCAGCTCGCTAATACACTCTTGAGTGTGAGACTTGAGCTGGATGCTGACCTTGTCAGTTTTGGTTGCTGGCCTTCCTGTTCAATTACTTTTTAATTTAACTTTCCCACCCAACATACACAGCCGTGGCTTTTAATACTTCACTAGGCTGCTGTGCTTGCCCAGTATCTGACTTTTTTGCCTTGATCAGAGATTCCCCTATGGATTGTCTTCCTCTCTGTTGTGCCGTGATCTGTCAAGAGGCTGTTGGATATGTGTCTCTTCTCCCAAGAATAATGCAGAGGACCATTATTACTGGTAACAGTCAAGAAAACAGCCAGTGAATCAAACAAGCAGTGATTCCTTCTCCTGCTCACATTTTCAGCTGAATGGGGGGGAGGGGTCAGGATGGAATAGGATGTGGACAACTGGTTGAAGTGGGCTTCACAGGCGTTGACATTTTCCAGGGCCAACCTATACTGTAGAGAGTGGCAGAGGAAGTCATCCAGTGGCAGCAACTTCCTGCCTGCCCAGTGGCACTTGGACAGTTACCATTTTTTCCTCAGCATTGATTTCCTTTTCTGTTTGTTACAGCCTTTTTAACATAAATGTGTCTTTTTTGTGTGCAGTGCGGCTTCTGCTGTCCCAGAAGCTGGTGTGGATCTAAATGCGATGGTTTCCTCTGAAAAGACTGCAACTATGTTTATTTTTCTCATGGCTTTTGTGTTTGCTGGTCTCTGACTTCCTCTCCTTAGTTGCTTATATACCATGTGTTTGCTGAGAGGCAAGTGCTGTTAAGAACTGCCGAGCCCTCGTTTCACAAGGAATAAAAGGGAAAACCTGCTTCCACAGTCCTGTTGTGCTGCTGAGTAGCCTCAGCCATTGCCACAGTCCTCCATTTCATACCAGTGTAGGGGCAGCAGGGCAAGGCTGCCACAGTGACTGTACGGACATGATAGTGCTCACTACTTGCTGGACAGGTAATGTATAAAAGCAACCGGAGAGTGCATGGACTTGTCTCTAAGCACCTGAGCTGGGTGTTGCCAGATGTGGGGCTTAGCACTTAACTATGTCTTAATGCAGAATAATTATATGCAAAATGTAACCAGACAGAATAAAATCTTGGAGGCTAAGAGAAATTCACTCCTAAAACCATTGTTCTGTGTCTTCTGTCTAAATACAAAGGCCACAAATTGCTCTCTGAATTCTCAAGAGGCCTGAATTCCGTTGTGAAAATTCAGCTCCCTTCTCCTGCTTTCATGTTCAGGGAATATAAAGAAAAACACCAATTCCACCCTCCATCCAGTCTAAGCTGTCTATCTTACTGTACATGTAGCTCAAACTATACATGATGTACACCTAAGTCTGCTCTAATCACATTTCAAGAGAAGAGCTGGGAAGTGATTTTACGTGAAAAAGGGTAAGAGACAGGTGCAAAACTAGTTCCCCCGTTTTGCTCTTGTCGTATTTTCCTGCAGCCCCCACCCCCAGTCACTTTTTGCTCAGCCAGGCTCCGTTATCTGAAGGGACCCTAGGTGGAGAAAGCTGCCTGAAGGTGGGAAGGGAAATAGTGTGTGTGGGGGGAAGGGTTTTGCATTCCTCCATCTCGTGTTTAAATTGGCTCTCCAGCCTCTCATTCTCAGACTCTAGTCTGTCCTTGTCATGTGTAAAAGGAGTACTTTTCAAGCTACAGTTCTCCACCATTCTTTGGTGAAATTGCAAAAGTTAATTAGTAGATCGAGGAGATCGGAAGGAGTCATAGATCACAAATGTTGTAATAATACGAGAGCTTTGCTTTTTACTCCTTTACCTATAAATGTATTTAAACTACATTTAAAGCTGTTCCAGACCCTAGATTATGTTGTCTTCTTTTAGCCTCAGTACAGCTGTGATATTAAATCTGACATTTCAACAGTGTGATCTAAGCAATTTAGAGGTGTTGGGCATTTTTAAAAAATTGAAACTGTTATTAAGCATAATTTTCCAGCCAGTATCAAACTGAATTGATTCTGCAACAGAAACAATCAAGTTGGCAGAGACTGTGTCAAAGAAATAACCACAGCAACTTCAAGGGTAACTGAACTCTGCTCAAAAATAAAGTGCCCTTGATATATATGTTACATAAGGCTGGGCATGGTAACTAGGGGGAGCTTGCTCCAAGCTCAATAAAACCTGACATCCTCTCGCTTCCTGATCTCACGCTGTACTTGGCAGCCCTTGCTGGTGCATCAGAGTCACCTAAACCGCCCTGAGAGTTTACAGACAGCTGATGCTGCTCCTTTGCTTCCAGGTTACAGAAAGCGCTCTCTGAATTGGTACAGAATAGCATGCTGCCGTGGTTTAGGGAGAGCCAATATCACTGGCTAGCTCCTGCCAACCTAGCAGTTCGAAAGCAAGAAATTGCAAGTAGATAAATAGGTACCACTTCGGTGGGAAGGTAACAGCATTCCGTGCGCCTTGGTGTTTAGTCATGCCGGCCACATGACCACGGAAACATCTTTGGACAGTGCTGGCTCTTCGGCTTTGAAACGGAGATGAACACCACAACCCTAGAGTCGGACTCGACTGGCTTTCGAGCAAGGGAACCTTTACCTTTAATATCACTGGGTTGGAAAGACTGGAGTCCAGATGAAATGGAAACACAAGTGAAGCAGTGGTTTATCACTTGTTTCTGTCACAAGACTGTTATCAGATAGTGACCTGCACAGGTCACAGATGGCCGTGACAGAGTGGTCACATTCTAATCCAGTCTCTCCTTGTTCTGTCTGAGACAGACACTGATAAGATCAGAAGTGGCATTTTAACAGCAGAATAGATGCACCCAAAAAATAACCTTGTAATGGATGAAAATTGTGTTAACTGCAGTCTTCTCTTTCATTTTGTCTAACATCTATTTCAGTCCTCTGTAAGGTTCACTGAATTTCTCACAATTTTGCCTCACAGGAACTAACCTGTCACCTTGTACTTGTCTTTATGCCCAATAGGAAAATGGTTTTTCTTCCTTTCTCCTCATCCCTTTTATTTCCTCTCTGCAAACCAACTCAGAAGAGCTTCTTCCTTACATGTCTCTATATGTGGTATATCAAGTACTATCCAGAAGCACCAAATGTAGTGGAGCCGCTGCAGAAATAGTTCCGTTTGCTGACCTGCAGTAGCACTGTTTTTATGGATACACAGTAAGCTTGTTCTGGGAGTTTAATGCTTCTGTTTACACAGCAAGTTGAAAGGATGCAACTGGTGGCCTCACCATAACCACCACCAAAGATTTTTCTGCCGTCTTCTTTTCAGAGCCACAGTTGTCTGTTGCATTATGTGTCTTATCCACTTTATTACAAGAAGAGTCTGGGGGTGGTATCCAGGACTCATTCTAGCTTAATGTGGTGCAGTAGTTGATATTTTCCCCATCTGGTTTGACATAAGATTATGTTTTTAACTGGCTGTCATAATGTAACAATCCTCTCTGGCATTTTTGCTGCACTGTGCTCTCAGCTTGTCCCTCTATGTAATTATTTTTCAGAAAGGCATAAAGAAATAAAGGCACATTATACATCTGTTGCGGTTTGGCCTTTTCCTGCATGCATTAAGAGAGAGTATCTGGAATTGGGTTTTTGTGTTTTTTTTGATGGATGAGTTGACAGAAGCCTCAGAGAAGGTAGAAGAGCAGCAGCAGGAGCCACAGAGGGCATCCGTTCTGGCAGCCGCCCATGGAGCCGATTTTGCCGTCTCTTGTCCCCCTGTATTAGTCTACTGCGTCCTTTAGCACTAGGTGTTCTCTGAAAACTCAGTTAAAACAGCTATACCTCACCCATCCCAATTACATTTCCTTGCACCAAAAAAATTAAACAAATTGAATCATTTTGCTGCCTCAGGCAGTAAATGAAGTTTCTTCCAGCAAATTTATGATCATCATAAAACACAGCTTGATTTATGCTAAAATATTAAAAGGAGACTTTTACGATGGAAATAAACAGTTTCTGCTTTCTCTTTCTGTGGCTCACAAGCTCTTTCTCTTTGAGGGATTAAAGGGCAATATGGGATTTTTTTTGGAAAACGGGGCTGTAAACTGAATTCAGAGCAGCACCAGAGTTGGAATCTGTCTCTCCACACTTCAAAGACCATGAGGGCGAAAGGGCCAAATTTCAAGGGTGATAGTTGGAAAGGGTTATGGAGAGAAAGAGAGAGAGGCTTTTAGAAGAGGTCTTAGGGGGAGCTTTTAATGATCACCTATATTGTTGTCCTAGTTATACTGAAGACTGCGAGAGTGCTGTAGAAAAGTGTTCAATGTCAGTGGAGGTTAATGGGTCCAATCCCTAGTCAATTCTACAAACTCTCTCAGTAGCTCTAAGCAATTCACTTGCTCCTACCTTCCAGATCCATAGGTTAATATCTCTGCTCATAGGATTTTCTCTGAATGTAAGGATTTTTACAATAGCGCGTTTGCAAATTGGGGGGGGGGAACCATATAGGACCTTGATTTCTCAATCTGATTTGCTTCAAAAGTGTTAATGTAAAGGAAAGTTGAACCTAATAATCTGAAGAACCGAACTATGCTTAAAAGTTGTGCATCCTGCTCTCCCACCCTGGTCATGTATGTACAGTTGAAAAAGATACTTGTCTCATCTACTCAAGGAATTCCTACAATAAAATGCTAGTTATGTTACACTTTTTGCCTAGAACAGCCCATACAGTATAGCCACGATGCTAGATGATTCAAATCATTAGGTCTGGGGAACTGCCGATTTGATTACTCCTCGTTCATTTTAAAGACTACTTCTTTCCTAAAGAAAACTAGCACAACAGTGACGGTATTCATATAGAACCCTTTTCTCCAGTGTTTGTTTGTTTCTCCAGTGGTTATGTCGTGGTACATTCCTCACTTCTGGGATAAGCTCCTCCCTCTTCCTGTAGGGTCGGCTCCAGGCTTTGATCCAGGCGGGGAGGGGCTTATCCCCTTGCAGGCTCTCCAGTTTCTTTGCCGGCCCTGCTCCTAGCAGGACGTGCCCAGGCCGCGCTTTTTGAAAGCGCACACTTGGAAAAGAGAGAAGACGGAAGAAAGAAGAAAGAGAAACCGGCTGGTTTCATTTACAGCCGGACGGGCTGACGGCGTCGGATTACAATCCAGACGCCTTGGCAGCCTGCAACGAGGGTCTCTGCTGGCCTTACCCGTCCCTGGGGCGGAGGGCCTGCTCCGATAGCCCAGGAGTGCAGAGGCGATTGCACGTGGCGGTAAGGAGACAAAGCTCTCCATAACCGGCAGTGGGCAGATGAGTGGGACACGGAGCGGAGAAACGCTGACTCCTTACATCCCACCTGGAACGCGGTAAGCTGATACCGGCTATAAATCCACCCCTCCTAAAAGGCAGGAGGGAGGAAAACGCCGGAGGGCTCCCGGGAAAGGGGAGGGAGCTGAAACCTCCGTTTGGCCTTGGGAGCCGGGGGAAGGGGGGAGTGTTTTTCCCAGCCCTATAGACGTCCCTCCGAGTACCCTTCCACGGGGGGGGGGAAGGTACTGGATAGTGTCCAGGGCCTCAGAGAGAGAAAGAGCAGGCAGGGGAGGGGAATCCTCCCCTTGTTAAGCAAAACGCAGGGGGACAAACTTGGAAGAATAGATTGAGCGCTTGTGTTCAGCCCAAGACAGTTCCACCGGGGACATCATGTAGGCAAGGCCTTCAACATCCCAGAGCCACCAAGACTCTGACCACCGAGGGTATGGGGCCCAGGGAGGCCATTAACCTGGACATAATGAATTGGTTCAGAGGGGAAATGAAAAGGGAGTTCAAAGACCTGATACTGGAGACCATACAAGGCTCCAAATCTCAGGATGCTCCGATGGAAAGGGGTAGGAGCCTTAAGAGAGCCAAAGACAGAGCTAGCGTCTCTAGATCCCCTGTAACCCCAAAGCACAGCAGACATAAGTCTGACTCTAGAGAGAGGAGCCCTCTGATGAGGCATGATGAATCTGAACCAGAAGTTTCCTCCTCTTCAGACAAGGAGGAAGGTAAACGTTCCACTGAGGAATAAGAAATGGCTGTACAGACGGTGCAATCCAGACTTTTCCCACAGGAAATTTGCCCGCGTATCTTGCCTAAAGTATTGAGGACTTTAGATCTCTCGGCTAGGCCCAGGGAGGAGAATGAACAGGACTCTGAGTTTCAGAAAGGTGTGGGTAAACTGATGCCTAAGGTATCAGTCTCTCAGTTAGGTCTGCCTCTCCCAGCCTCATTTTACCACATAATGAAGGCTGAATGGGACCAACCAGCTAAACCAAAGACCAATCATCCCCCTTTCTCAAAGCTATATACACTGATGCCTGAGGCCTCACAGAAATTAAAGTTACCTGTAGTAGATGATCCAGTAAACAACCTGTATTCCAACTTGGTGCTTCAGACAGACACCGATGGGATGCCCAAGGATCACACTGACAGACGGATAGAACGCGCTCTCCGTAATAATTTTGAGGCCTCAGTGGCAGTGATTAAGGC